ATCATGTCACTGATATTCTCATTGGTATTTGAGGCATGAAGATCAGACCATTGGAGTGTGAGGTCATAGTCACAAAGAGACCATCGAGTTTCTAATGTCTAATGAAGATTGTGTCCCATCAGGAGGTGGGAATCAAAACCCGCCCGTGGAGTTAGTTGCATCCGAAACATTTAGAAAGAAATAATCCGTGTCTCATTCTCATTAAGCGAATAAATATTTATTTTCCTAGTCTCACAAATGCAATTTATTTTGATTCCTGTTTTTTTTTTTAAAACCCCATAAAAACATTGTTTTACGTGTAAATTTTTAAAATGCATTTTTTGTTTACAATTTCCTTTATTTTCCCCTTCAAAAATACATTTTCTTTTGTTTGTCCGTAAAAAAAACGTGTGGCTTTAGGCCGAAACTTTTTTCTGCATTACTGTGCTCTTAAGCGTTGGCTGCATTGCATCATATTTCCTTTATCTTCCCATTGAAAAAAAAAGGCAAAACTGATTTTTGTAGGTTGGGGGTGGGACTTACAGTTTGAAAAAATGTATTTGAGAACTATATCAACGTTAATTTATAGTTACATTTACATTAAAGTTAATTTATTAAAAATTTTCTTTTCCTGTTCTTCAAAGTTGCAAAACTGTCAATCATTTGTTCAAAATGAATATCCTTCCACGTATCACTTTCAATTGATAGTAGAGCCAGATCAGAAAATCTTCACTGTCCCATGGTAGATCGTAAAAAGTTCTTGATTATTGATAGGCCTTAGTTTTGAAAAAGCTTCGCTCACAGACACACAGATCAAAAGAAACATTTTAAGGCCAGGGGATAGTATTGGAAGAGATTCTAGGAAGTCCCATTCATCTATGAATCACAAAACATCAAACACTAACTAATGCATGAAGTTGAGAAATTCAGTATCAGCTGCCTTTGGGTGTCTTCTAACCCTAAGTATTTCTTTTGACAGTTGATCTTCTGATAAGTCATCACAGAAAGAGGTTAATTTTGGAACGGACACCATCAACTCTTCTTCACTTGCAAATAGACTTTTGAGTTGAACAGCCCCAAACATATGTGCTGCTTCCTTTATCACGGATGATTTGATCTGGAGTTTAGAATGAAATCGAGCAATAACCTTATCAACTTATGTACTTAGAATCGCCCGGCCACATCGTATTCGGTATCAATGGAAAGCTTTATTTCTCAGAATTTAGATAAATATATCATCTTGTCACGAACACTTCAATCGGCATTGAATCATGGTCAAAACGGCGTTTTTCTGTCTTAATTACAGGTTCCCCGCATTACTAAAGAATCAACATTGAACTTTTAATAAAATACGCATTTGGATTGGCTACATGTGTGGATAATTACTAGTAATCGGTTATCCTCTTATAAGATAGGTTACACCGAGCAATGTGTGCTCTGTAAACATGCACTTTTTCTATTTGCTGTCATCCCCCGGAGAGGTGTCACCCGTTGCTGTCCGCAACCTTGCACTCCATAGCTACACCACTGAATGTAGGCGTGCACTGGCAAGTTAAAAAGAAAAATAATTTTTAAAAAACTAATTTTAAGTGGCCTGAAAATACCAAAAGTTTGAAATGTTTATAAAAGCAATGTCTTGTACATTCGTTTGGTTTATGTTTTTCTATATCCTGTTTCATGTACCTTGCACATGTATTTGAACGAGCTCTGCTATATTTTTGCGAAAGGTGGCCTTTCCGGCAAGAATATTTTAAGTCCTGAAACCATGCATGCATCTAAGGTTAAATACATGGACGCTATTTGGGTAGGGCAGTTGCCCCCCCCCCCCTTTTAATTTGCAGTTTAAAAAAGTTTGCCATGTACTGTGGCGCCTTCTATAATAAAAAACTTCACAAGCCGATCAAGTTTTGGATGAAAAAAAAAAAATTTTTGCGAAAGGGGGCCTTTCCGGCAAGAATATTTTAAGTCCTGAAACCATGCATGCATCTAAGGTTAAATACATGGACGCTTTTTGGGTAGGGCAGTTGCCCCCCCCCCCCTTTTAATTTGCAGTTTAAAAAAGTTTGCCATGTACTGTGGCGCCTTCAGTAATAAACAACTTCACAAGCCGATCAAGTTTTGGATGAAAAAAAAAAACTCCCAGGAAATGACGCCCCTGTTGTAAAGATATAGAAGATAGACTATAAGCTGTAGCAGACTGTCATCTTTCCATAACGTTTAACTGAATTGTTGAATTCGACGAGATAATAATTATTAGTTGATATTACCATTCAAACATTAGAAGTAGCGTTGTTGCCTTCGTCATTGTAGAGAGTTGACATTTTTTTTTAAGGTTTCGATCCGTTATTAATAAAGTATTGCATACGTAAATTAATTCCCAAGAAAGAAGCGGTTCTCAACCCGTGGGTCGTGATCCCTTTGGTTGGGGGGTCACCGCAACACGAGGAACTGTATTAATGGGTCGTATCATCAGGAAGGTTGGGAACCACTGCACTAAAGTGAGATCAGTTACAGGCGGAAGGAGGTGCCGATTTCTACGTGAAAACAGATACATTAAAGATCAGCGGCATTGGTGACAACATAATTTCGAGAGCTGTCAAAAGACGTCACCACCCACAACCCAGGGGCGGAGCTGGTAAGGGGAGGCTGTAACGAGGAAAATAGAAATTACCTGGTAAAACGCTCTTAGAAATGCCATAAAATTAAAATTTGACTCCAAGAAAGCTGATACACTAAAAAAATAATTTAAAATACATCATTAAATTAAAAAACACGGGGGGAACTGACTATAGTCCTTGTGTCCACGCCGGATGAAGTCCTTCCATTCAAATTGAAACACGTCCTTCTGTTTATAACGGATGAAGTTCTTCCGTCCACATTGGATGACATCCTGCAGTCCACACCGGATGAAGTCCTTCCATCCACACGGGATGAAGTTCTTGCGTCCACATTGGATGACATGCTTCCGAAAAAACCGAATGAAGTTTTTCAGTCAACACCGGATGAAGTCCTTCCATCCACACGGGTTGAAGTTCTTGTATCCACATTGGATGAAGTCCTTCCATCCAAATTGGAATACGTCTTTCCGTTTATACCGGATGAAGTTTTTCTGTCACGACGACACTGGACAGGAAAGAAAAAAAAAACCTCTATAAAACAACAATACGCTGGCACTAATAGTACTCTAGATACTGACACTAATAGTACTCTAGATACTGACACTAATAGTACTCTAGATACTGACACTGATAGTACTCTAGATACTGACACTAATAGTACTCTAGATATTGACACTAATAGTACTCTAGATACTGACACTAATAGTACTCTAGATACTGACACTAATAGTACTCTAGATACTGACACTAATAGTACTCTAGACACTGACACTAATAGTACTCTAGATACTGACACTAATAGTACTCTAGATACTGACACTATAAGTACTCTAGATACTGACACTAATAGTACTCTAGATACTGACACTAATAGTACTCTAGATACTGACACTAATAGTACTCTAGATACTGACACTAATAGTACTCTAGATACTGACACTAATAGTACTCTAGATACTGACACGGATAGTACTCTAGATACTGACAATAATAGTACTCTAGATACTGACACTAATAGTACTCTAGATACTGACACTAATAGTACTCTAGATTCTGACACTAATAGTACTCTAGATACTGACACAAACAGTACAGCATGTAAAAGACCTTGTGCTATATGACAATAGTTTTAAAATGTTAAGGGGCGGTGCTAGTGGCAAATGGGCGGAGAAATATTTTTTTGAGTATTTCTTAGTTTGAATCTAATAACGCTTTCCCCAAAGCTTTAAAAATTCTTTCCCCTGATCAAATAGTCTTTTCAAAACATTCATATTTTGTACACTTTAGGACCATGGGCGCCCGCAGAAAACTTTCTAGAGGGGGGGGGGCAAACAAATCGATTAACCTTCCAAGGGGGGGCAAAACATTTTTAGTAATGTTTTAATATAGTTTTAATCTACTGTAGCGTATTTGTATGGTGAACAGGACAGGACATCAGCTTAGTTACTTTCTCTTTATTTTCTCTTTACTTTAATACATTTTTTTTTCTATTTNGGGGGGGGGGGGGGGCAAGTGCCCCACCTTGCCCCTACCTGCCGGCGCCCATGTTTAGGATGCACCTCTTGATTTTTAAATTATCCCACATTTTCTGGTTAAGTAAAAGCCATCGGGATGCTCAATTTCCGCCCTACTTCCTGATAAAAATGGCGGTATTGCTTGCCTTGAAAATCAGTTTTGGCACCGATATATCCACTTCCCAGCGGCGTGCCCAGTATTAGCGCCACTTTAGGTGGGTTAACTCTTTATCACGCTACCTTTCATGATATATAAAAAAAAAACTCTCAATATAATACAAAAAAATTACCCCTGGGCAGACCAACTATTTGCCCCCCCCCCACCCCCTGTTTACGACACTGGCGTAAGTGTTTGGTTCCAGAGAACAACATTCTTTTTGTTTTACACCACACTAACTCTGAAATCCATTATTTTCATCCAATATTACAATAAAAGCCCATTAGGAGCCCCCACTATCTGGCGCCCGGGGGAATAAGCCTTCACATGCCCACCTTAGCTACGCCTCTTTCCGATGACACTGCAAACCCCCCCCCCCCCCCCCCCCCCAACCGAAGGAAATTGTCTGAAAGAAACACTGCTTGTATCCCAGGACTTGAAACCTGCTGATAACCTACTGTGGTCTGTGGCGGGACATTACCCTTTTTAACAGTATGATTGAGTTAAGAAAATGACTCGAGCGAGCTCTGTGAAACATTTATTTTATTTGGCGTTCTTGTCAACAGTGACATAATGAAATAATGTAGACTAGCAATGCTGCAATTTCAATGCGAGGAATTTAAACTTTAATTTAATCATTGCATAGTGTCATTTTAAACAAAGAGTTAGGTATTTGACTAATTTTTCATTTTAATTAATACTTTAAAAGCCTACCACTCAGAAAAATCTGGTCTTTCCTAAACGACAAGTCAGGACAACGGTGCAAATTAGTTAAATAAGTTTGTTTAGAAAAAATATCGAAAATCAATTATTGTGAGTGGTAAAAGTTGTTTTTGGCTAAGACTTAAATAATAATTAATGAGTAACTAGTCCGCTCGCTCCTATGACTTTGAGTTTGAGACTCAGTCATCAACGTAGTCTGCAACGTAGTTGTAAGGGAACGAAAATATTTTACACTGAGGACCTATAAATATAATAATTTTATGATCAGCGTTGTCGTGTGGGCCCTACGGCTGCAGGAGGGGCTCATATATATAAATTAAGTAGGGCCTATGGGCAAGGGGACAAAGTTATGTGTAAACAATTTTTTAATACTTTGGCATTTGGTTTGAAGGCAGAAGGTACAAAACCTTAAATTTGCAGGGGGCCTCCGAAAGTCAGGCGACTGCTCTGTCATGATATGATGTGTGTTTATTAATTTATAACAATAATACAAAAGTATTTCCATTTAAATTATGCTGTTCTTTCGTGTTTGAGAGCTCACATTCACAGACTCTCAGTCAACCTACTCGGAGTATTCATCTAAAAGAAGACTGAGGACTATTAAGTAAATTTTGTGTTGAGTTAAGGCTCTAGACTCTAGCTTTTTTAATAAAGTATTTGTTCTAAGTCTAAACATCAAAATCAAAGTTTGGTGTAGTTGTTTTGCGCAGCTAGGCTTGCCACTGACCCAAAATTAAGCTGAACTGTCAAATTATTTCTTCAACTTCGGTCTTCATTGATCATAATCATATGGTATTGTCATAGTAGTTAGATTTAAGTCGTAGTAATGTAGTTAAGAACAGAAGGCCATTGGCTTTAAAGTTATAGTATACATTTTTATATCTGTTAATATTTCTTCCTTTAAATTTTACCATATGAAATAAGTCACAAATATATATTTAATGAAATTTAAGTACATTGTAACTTTTGTAAGGGCTTTGAGACTTTGCCGTTTGCAGGGAGAGTAGAATTAGAATATGGGAAACCCAGGTCTATATAATAAATGTCAATGAAATCAAAATTCCTTATTTAGTTTGTTCATTTAATCTATCTAAGGATTACTAGGATGTGGTAAATTTCTAATAAAAATCTAACTAGACCTTAGAAATTATCAAGTCTACTCTGTATCAATCCTTATTTCAATAATTTTTAAATTTTATTATATTTTTTTAAAATGTGAATTCTCATCTCATTTAGACAACTATGGCTATTTTTGGTCAGTTGCTTCGGTCAGCTGGAAGGAGTTTTTCAACTTCAGCTGTCAGAAAAACACAGAATTGGCAGCAGGAAGGAATTCCAGGATCAGTAAGATTTTATTAATAAAAATAGGAATTAAATTTTTAAAATAATCAAAATCACATTAATATTTAGTAATGTAATTAATTAACCCTATCTGTGGCAACTGGGGGTAATACAGTAATGTAATTAATTAACCCTATCGGTGGCAACTGGGTGTAATAAAGTAATGTAATTAATTAACCTTATCAATTGCAACGGGGTGTAATACAGTAATGTAATTAATTAACCCTATCGGTGGCAACTGGGTGTACACCCGGAGACAGACTTTGATTGCTTATATCTCAAGTGTCCTTTTAATTTTAATAAACTTTTTTATACTCTATCTAATCCACAAGGTAGTTGGAATGAACACTTTGGTAGATGCAATTGTATCAAACATGCGAAACTGGCTTATTTTTTGGGCCTTAACATTTTTCTACAGTCCATCTCAACTGGATGTAACATACCCGTACATAATTTAACAGAAGAAAAAAAAACTTCTAAACTGGCTTGTGAACATTTTTTGTTGATTGTTGTTGATGATTTTAGTCTGTAATCCATGCCATAATATAGATTTTAAATTTTGACAAAAAATAAATATTCTGAATGGATTTGGGTACCAGCGTACCAACAATAATAACATATATTCAACTTGACAAACCATTTAAAAGTAGACCAGTCATATATACACATGGAAATTAGGGGCTTTGTAGCTCAGTTTGCACAGTTTTCACATAAACGAACAAAATGTTCTTTGCAACTATCTAATAAACTGACTGCGTTTAAGTGGTTTGGACAGCTGTTTGAAGTGTTTGCAAAGATTTCCAAACACTGGCGGTGTTCTGCCTCACAACATCTTCATGCATCGGGATGGATCGTCTCTACTTAAGCAGGGGTGAGGAAATACGCAACGTCAATATTGACTTCCTGTTTTCTTCTTGTATTCATGAGACATTGAGTTATTCTGATATTTATATTTAAATGCCACTCTTGCTACAATTGTTGCCAAGTCAAAAATGTTGAAAAACACAACCAAAGACCATCTTTTACTTTTAGTTTTTTTGTTTTCACAGAGACCACCTATGCCTCCTTTGATTTTGTTGTAATAGATCACAATCTCTGGTTTCTTGCATTCAGTTTCACTTTCTATATCTGGACAATTGTGTATTGTGTTCAAGAGCAATACATTTTTCTGCTTTGAGCTCCGTTATTTGTCAAGGTTGTTTCTAGTCTGAACAAAAAAAATGATTTTGGGAATATCTTGTTCTGTTTCACTGTTCCAACTAGGGTTAGTTGGTTCTTGGCCATTGGTTCTGCAAGTTGTAGAAGAATGAAATAATAGTCTGTTTTGAAATTGCGGCCACTTCCATGGAAGTGCGTTGTGAGAGACATGACAGTCTCTGGTGATATTCCAACATTTCTCTTTGCTGGCAGGCCACTTGCATTTTCTTTGCTGAGATATGGGCAGCCTTTAAGAGGATAGTTCGAAGACGATTCGCAGGCCCAGAAGATTTTTATTCCATACATTGAATAAATCTGCACCGACCTCTGAAACCAACCAGTTCCTCTCCTACTGTGATGTTCTCTCCAGGAAAAAAGTACCTTGCTAAATTACTTGGGAATACTTCTCATACATCTCTTAAGGGATCAAATATGTCACGAGCCAGTAATGATTATTCTAGTATCCTTGTTGTCAAAGCCAATATGAATCAGAAGTTTGCTGAATCTCTGCATTGAAAATGCTGCCCTAAAATGAGGATTTCCATCAACATGTCTGAATAAAAATTCCATTGAAATGCTGTTGAGGTGAAGAGTGTGTAGAAGAGCAGCCAATAAAAGCTTTCATTTAGACTTAAATCACATCAGTCCTGTGCCATTTGTTTTCTTTTACTTTCTTGCCTTCCCTGCTGGTGCAGTGGCTATTGTTTATATCATTTTTTTATTACTGTACAGAACAATTTAATGCTTCAATGGGAGAAACTATGTGATGTGTGAAGGGAATTCGGTTACAAGGCAACTAAATCATGCCACATTGTAAAAAAGAAATTAACATAAAGAGATAAAAGGGGGAGAGACTGCTATGGGGTTAGCAAAATAAGAAATGAGTAAAACAAAGTATAACAATTTTATTCGGTTGTTTGTTCGCTGACGAAGGCTTCATGCTGACACATTCATTGTTTTGTTGTGTTCCATTTTTCAGGTTTGACCTTACTTTGTTTTACTCATATCCTATTTTGCCATTTACTGTGTTATAAGAAATATAGGTGTAACCCACCCAGTTGCCAGGAATCGCCAGAAACCCTTTTTCCCATTATAGTAAGTATACGAGTGTGCCACAGCCAGTCACGATGGACAGGGTATATAATATGTTGCCGTGGATGGGGTTAATTAGATTTTTTTTAAATATAAAAGATACCCTAGAGTAATGTCATTGTATTTTGATGTAAATAATTCTAACCCTTCATAACCCTTCATAAAACAAAACAAATATCGGTCTTAGAAATAACTGCTATATCTTATGAATCTGCAAAACATGTTGGTTGCTTCCTATTCTTTAGTTTACATAAAATTAATATTGCTCTTACAATTATCCTACCAGTTTCATAAGTATGGTTTAAATGAATACAAATCTGAATGTTCTTCTGTAATCAATTCTGACATATTTATGATAGATTTTTTAAAAACTAACTAAAACTTAAATCAAAGTACCCCTGTGGCATTTTATGAGTTTATTGTTTACTTATATTTTAGTTTTATATATCGTCAAAGACCAGAAATGTTCTTTGGCATTTTAAATACCAAGTATGACATAAAATGATAAACAAAACTGGCATTTAAAATGTATGTTAAATATTTCAAGACTATAAATTTTTCATAAATTTATTATCACAGCTGGTATAGAGCTTTATTTTTAACACAGTATTAGGCAAAGATGTACTTTTAAAAACCAGCTATGACAAAACTCTAAAACCTCTCAATTGTTTAAAATAATTTCTGTAAAATTCACTACAATGTTATGATTTTTATACTCAACAGAACCTCCCCTTTGACATCAATAACAAGATAAAGTTGACTCTCAACTTCATCATATTCTTTAGTACTGGATTGACAGCACCTTTCCTACTAATGCGTCGACACTTACTGAGCCTTTACACGCCTGAAACTGTACCTATCAAAAGTAGAATCAGAACTAAGCCAGTTATTGATGAGGTTGAAATTGATGGAGACATGGAACATTGTTAAGTTCAGCATTCAATTTTGTCCAACAAGTTAAGAACTGTCAAGATGTTCTGTTGTACTAATGATTAAGTGCTATCAAGACGTTCTGTTGTCAAGATTTTCTGTTGTGTCAATGACTGTTTGTTGATAAATAAATATTTCAATTCCAATTTTTTCAAAACTTTTTATTATGAATAAAAAAGATGAATACTCTTGTAAAAATAAATGTGTCATTAAATAAAATGTGTAGAATAAACTGTTACAACCTTTCCTAACCAAACATTAAATCTGCTAACAACTGAGCTATAAATATTTATGATTGATCAAATCATATTCTGGACAGCAATAAATCAGGATTATTCTATCAATAAATACTATCATCATGAGCCATTCATTCTTGTCTTCCCCTACCCCTTCCCCTATATCTCTTTAATCCAGTATTTGGGGTTTTGTTATCCTGCAGTGTTACTCCCTGCATAATGTTCTTCAAGTAAGTCAATTCTTCCATATCTCCCTTATCCAAATGATCTTTCGTAGTGATGAGAAGGCTGCCCTGTGGTTTCACTGCATTCACATTTTTCTCTTGAATTTGTATCCACTCTTCATTGCCCGTGTCCTCAAACATTGATTTTTTGTTTATCCCCAACAATAACTCTGGGATGGAACATTTATACAAAAGCTTGTCCAGAATCAACAATCCTGCAGCAGGTTGCTGTAAAGAAAATAATTTTAAAAGACATTTAATTAAAATGTTCACCTGATTACGAATAAATAAATATGAAGACAAATCCAATGTTGCACTGTAGCTGTTCAAATAACATCCATTAGATAAGCCCAAAAAAAGCACCCATTCATTTCTTATACATAGAAAACATCATTTTTCTTTGTGAACCAAAAGCACATTTAATTTACCGAGTCTGTAGTTAGATATTTTTCTGAAGCATTAATTAAATGGGTAGCTTTAAGAACTTAAAAACTTAGCAACATAATAGCCATTATGGTGACTCAAATGTCAAGTGTGCTTTAAATTAAAGTCTACCGCTGTAAAATTTTGGGATATCAACACACCTTTAAGGGATGAGGTTTTCTGAAATTTGTTTTGTTGAAACAAATGTATTCCGGTGACAGGTTCTCGAACATGTCAATAAGACTGCAATGGGAACATAATTCTTCTGTTCGTTTGTCTGAATCCATGTGTAGTACAGTTGTTAGGAGGTTCACGGGGAACTTGCAGCTTTTAGCATTAAAGCCAAAGGAAAGGATTTCTAAAAAATGTCTGTGAAAAATTAAATAACATAAACATTATTCAACATCAGAAGAAAACAAAATATCTATACATGCAGAAATTAAAAATATTTCACATTTAAAAGAAAGTTCAAGGCAATTTTTAAAAATTTGTTCATAGTATACTTTCATATATAAATTTAATAAAAACTAAATCCAGAAAGCAGTTCATTAACATCACAAGTAAAGATTGCTGACTAATCGAAATCATGAATCAAATATTTCAATATAATATCCCAGAAATAAGTTTGTAATTTTATAAGTCACTGTGAATGATATGTTCTATATTAATCAGAATTTAAATGAACTTTTCTCAATTATCAGTTTATTGCTTAAATTTGATAAGTTTGATGTGTAAAAATTAATAAAGATATACAATTTTTACTTAATAGCAATTTTCAAAAAAAAAAAAAAAAAAAAATGAAAAAAAAAAAAAAAAAAAAAATTTTTATTAAAAAAAAAATAAAAAAAAAAAAAAAAAAAAAAAAAATGTAAAAAAAAAAAAAAAAATTTAGGAAATCATCTTACATCTGCACTTTATAGATGTGTTGATTAACAGCACATAGAGACATTGCACATGGTAGTTGCCAGAGAAGTCGTAACACACGCAGATAGTTGGCTTGGACATAAGCAGAACTGATTTTGTAACATTGGAGAAGGAGAGGACTCTTGCTGATGAGCAAATTAAAGTGCATCAATTTATGTCAAAAATTAAACAAAGTAAAGCATAAAATAAAAAAATATGGTGCAGTTTTAATGAGTTTTGTTTTATTTAGGTTGATTAATCCCTAGACAACAAAGTTTTTAACAGCCTAAGATTTTTAGATTTTAATTAGGAAAAAAAAAATGACTGAAGTAACATAAAAGAAAAGGTGCTAAATGAAATCTTGTACGATTTCCTCATAACTAAACAACATAATTACTATCACGAGAGGGATTTGCAGAATCAATAAAATGCTTAGTGGACACTTTACTACCATTTAAGTTCAACAATAAGATAATTTCAATTCATAATGTGAATGGTAAGAAAAGATGTACAATTGCTAACTTGTTCAATTTATTACCGTAGACTCTGATCCAGGTCAAGGTAGTGGGTCATGGCATGATGGTCTCCTAGGTTGTCCAATAAGTAAACACTCTCCATTTCCACTCTGTGCTCATGATGGCCAGGTGTCACCTGTCAAATGAAAACAAATTTTAAAAATGACCACTCTCTATAGAAAGATTTATGAAGTTTATCTGGGGAATAAATATTTAAAGTTAAAGATTCTCTAAATGTTTTTTGTGCAGATTTTTCTTCTTTTTTTAAAAAGAAAATCACTGATGTTAATTTGAATTCTGAGAAAAGAAATGATACGGTTAAGTATATTGAGTTCCACTTGTAAACATTTCTAACAATATTGATAAAAATAGAGAAATAAAATCAGAACATTACCAGGATTCAAACAAAAAGAAACTTTGCAGCCTAAACGGGAAATAATGAGTTTTTAATTTCTTGATGATGATTTAGTAAAATAATTTTCTTTTAGAGAAAAGTGATTGTATTATAAAATAAATATCTTATGAAAATCTATTCAAGCTAAATTCTGTGAAGTTTACAAAACAATGCCTTAAGATACCTGGTAGAGGTATAATAACCTTTTCAAACACTCCAGCAGGTGTTGCTTGTTTATGACTGGGTCAAAATCTGCCACGCTAGCATCTCGCAACCTTGGAAACAATTTGTTCAAGATTAAATTTGAACTAAATTACTTAATGCTTTTTATCTAAATATAATAGTATTCATGAATTCCTGGTGAAAAATAAATGAAAGGGTGTCTTATTGCTTTTAAAAAAAACAAGAACTTGACTTTACTTTCAAATATATAATTTATTATTTATATTATTATTATGTAGTAGTTAATGAATTTAAAGTAGTTTGGGGTAAAAACAGAGTGACTGCATAATGCCAGCTTACCTATAGGAAGCATAAAGATGAAAGCGGACAACTTGTTCCAATAACTGTATAGCATCTTGACCTACAATGCCTTGTATCACCATATCTTGGCGTACGGCACGCAGGCGATCAAACACAAACTCATATATGGTACTCCAAGCTGGGTGGTCACTGGCTACAATGCTGTAAAGGAAAGTTAACTTTCCATATAACAATGTAGCAAAGGATTTGGAGTTATTTAACAGTCTTTTGGTACTGGCTGTAAATATTTTCAGATTATTTAATTATAATGATTCACCTTTTTCATCTCAGTGAGTGCATTTGTTTCAATATGTAAAATTTTAATCACAAAAATTTAAAAATGTATATCAATTTTGTTTTATTTGTTTTTGGAACCAAATATTTCAATTTTCAATATTATTACTATTATTAAAGTGGTCTTATTTATATAGCGCAGTACCCCAGCCTAGGGCTAGGCCCACAGCACTTCACATAAAAATTAACAGTTACATAAATTTAATCATTTAAAAACAGCTTGTAAAAAGATTTACCTCGCCTACCTAAATACTATTTTTACCCCTGTCTAGCCATATCTACAACAGAGTCCAACCTTAACCCTAACTCAATCAGGAATAAAAATTTAAAAATCATTCAAGTTAAAAATTATTAAAAATGCAATTAAAAAAGTTTGCAATTATAGGATGTTTTTTGAGCTTCCAAGCTAGTAAACAGATGCTGTGACAAATATCATTTGTCATCTGTAACACAGACAATGTTGTAAAAAGTAAGTTGCAATATTTTTCAATGCTTAATCTGATTATTATTCTAAGTAATTTCTGCTACTCTTTATAAATGATCAGAAAGGTGCTAACAATTCATGACATATGGTCGTAGAGGTGATTGTGAATCAACAGATGCACTATTTCCCTGATGTGTGTTGGAATGTTAAAACTTGTTAAGGTTCATAGAGCACAATGATTATAAGATAAGATTCTTTTATTGATCCAAATAAATGGAAATGTTTTTTGATTGCCTTATACATTTCCAGCACAAAAATAAAAATTTTTTAACACAAGACATTTACATAAATTATTTCAAACAGCCATTCAGTGAGCCATTCTATTAGCAAAATCGGGGACTTATTAGTTCTCATTCAGATGTCTGACTTCAGAAAAAGCACGACGGTAAATTCGTACAGATTGGGGAACAAAAGAATTTTTATATCGGTCAGTCCTCGCCCTGATGGAAAGAATTCGTCCCGAACGACCCAATCCTAAGTATCTGTGATGAAGAGGGTGGGATGTATCACCCAAAATGTGTTTAGTTTTGCAAAAACATCTTTCTTCAAATAGTTCTTCAAGTGAAAGATGTTTAGTTTGTGTTACGTTTCTAGCTTTCTTGATTATTTGGTTTATGCGGTGTTTAATATCAGACGTTGAATTTCCACACCAGCAGGTAATACTGAAATTAAGAAGGCTTCCAATAGTTGCACTGTAGAATAAGTTAACGACTTGCTTGTTTACGCCAAAATTGTACAGTTTTTTGAGGTAGAACAGTCTTTGGATGAATTTCTTATACAGGATTTGGCCGTGCTCATGCCATGTTAGCTTATTATTAATGGTGACACCTAAGTACTTGTATGCCTCCACTTTCTCCACATTTTGATTTTTTATGTTGAGATCTGTAATCAGGTGTTTCCCCCTCCTGAAATCAACAATCATTTCTTTTGTTTTTGAGACATTCAACTGGAGAAAATTTTCATTGCACCAATTGCTAAAGCTTGTTACTAAGTTACGGTATAGGGCTTATCCTTCAAATATTAAGCCAACAATCGTGGTATCATCAGCAAATTTTAAGATTTGAACTGTGTTGCTTGAGCTTTGAATATCATTTGTATATATTGTATACAGTACAGGAGAGAGAATGCAGCCTTGTGGTGCCCCGGTTCTTATTTCTCTGGTTAGAGATACTTAGTTATTTACTTTGACATATTGTGGTCGATTTGTTAAAAAGTTCAGTATCCAAGCCTGAATATTTAAATTGACACCTAACGAGGAAAGTTTCTTTATCATAAGGTGTGGTTGGATGGTGTTAAATGCTGATGAGAAGTCTAAGAAAAGCACTCTGGCATATGTTTTAGGACTGTCTAGGTGATGGTAAAGTCTCTCCAACAATAGTAAGATTGTGTCCTCCGTACTTCTGGCAGGTTTGTAAGCAAATTGGTGGGGAGTCAAGTTTTTTGCTGTACTTCTTTCAAAATTTCTTTCAGAATTATTTTCTCAAAACATTTCATGACAAGAGGTAAGTGCAACAGGTCGTAAGTCGTTGTTGCACGTTACCTTAATTTTCTTTGGAATTGGTATGTTTTTTTTTAATGTGTTTATAATAGAATATACAATGCACACAGTATGTCTTAAAATTCATACTCTTTATATAAATATGCCACTGTTTGCTTCAAGACGGGGACAGGACGAAGGTTATGTGACTCTGTATCTGCACGTCCCGCTGCCGGCCTAGAAAATTCTTTCACCATTTTGGAGGCATCAGCAACAGATCTGTTGTTATTTTAATTATAGAAGTGAATATAAATTATTAAACAAAAAAAAAAAACAATGCATCAGTGACTAACACAATATATATTTGAGAGTACATAAGTTTTTGGACCAAACTGTGCTTTATAAAAAAAGAAGCTGTACTAATTATTTTTCATAAAAATATGGCTAAAAATGGTAAAATATTATCATCATCATCAATATATATATAATGAATGAAATATGTAAATGCAACGATTTAAGTTAATCTTTCTTACTACAAGTTCTTTATATTTTCATAAATGGCTGAATTTGGGCGAATAAATTGTATTTAAAATTTTATTTTTCAACACGATTAAAATAATTGAAAAACTGCATTTTATTCACCTTCTAGATTTTCCATTCAGTTCCAGATGTACAGATGATGTTTCAAGCATGTGAACCAATCCTTCTCTTATTCTCCTTGTAAAAGAAAAAAAAATGTCTTTACATAATTATATCAGATTTTTAAAATTACATTTACTAAATTTTTATAAATTTGGCACTATATCTGCTATGAAAATATTTTGGGAGCTGCATGTCATTATAGATTATTATTAAAAAAAAGACCAGGGTCTATCCCTTCCAAGAGCTCACCAATAATTTATCATCATCCTAAATAAGAATGAGATTTTTAAAATTGTTTTCACAAAGAATTAATCTATAAAGCAACCACAATTTTTAATCAAAATTTATCATAAAAAACATTCGTTATATTTATATTATTTTAGTTATTTTGCAAAATATTTTCATTTCCCCTCACAAAATATAAACTTAATAAAACTTTAATTAATTTTAAAGGGAAATTGGTTTGAACAAGTTACTTTTTACAGTTTTAAACTTATTTTTATTTTTTTCAGAAAATGTAACTAAATTCTACAGTGCAAAAATTGGACGCCTAATAAACTTTAGTATTACCTGCTGGTGTAGGATTTCATCCTTTGACATCAAGCACCAATTAAATAGACTAAACAAGAAAGCTTGTAATATCACCCAAACTAAACATCCTTCATTTGAAGAATTATTTGAAGGAAAATGCTTTTGTAAAACTAAAAATTTTGTTGGATGTTATATCCCACCCACTTCATGACAAATACCTACAATCAGCTCGATCAGGGTGAATTCTTTCTCTTTAAGTTAAGACCGAAAGATATGCAAATTATTTCGTTCCCCAGTCTGTGCTCCCCTAGTGGTTCCCAAATCTATATGATCACTAATTATGTCGTTATTTTCACTAAAACCGGTCACTGATGGCTTATGTTATTTCTATGCTAGAGAAATACTTTAGTTGTTTTTGTTTAAATTTTTGTATTTGTAAGATATGGTCTTAGTTAGAATATGTATTTATTTATGTGCTGAAAATGAGTAAGCACAATGTAATAAAAAAACATTTCCATTTATTTGGATCAATAAAATAATCTTATTTTAATCACTTTTTTTTTCATTAGGACTGTCTAACCACAGCAAGAAATAAAAATTTAAAAATATAGCTAACTAATACCAAAAGAATCTGTACAGCAAGACTGTGCATGACGCTCACTCATTAGAATACAGATTACAAATGTATCATTTAATGGGACATAATTTGTAAGAGTTGATGACATAAAAGAATCTCCCTTACATTATTTTTGTGATAAAATAGTTTAGGGTCAGCACCTGTAAGGCTCTTCACGTGGCAATGGACAACTTAAGATGGACATAAAAGTATAAATATATAATTAATAATAAAAATCCAAAGAGTTATGGATCCCTGTCATAGAGGAGTTATTTGAAAGGTTGGCTTGCAGTAGAGAACTTACAGGGCTATTTCATCTTCAGGGCACATTGTCAGACAAGTTCCATCAACTACTGGTTCATCCATGACCTCCATACCTGAAAATAGCATATATAAATAATACATGCAACATTGCACAAACATGATATAGCCCTAACCTGTAAATAGCTTTTTGCATTTTTAGATTAAAATTAATGTATTTAACAGGTAGTGCTGGATTGCTAGAATATTATGCAACTGATTATTAAAAGTTTATAATTTAATATATCAATATAACAGCCTCCAAAATAAAACTAAATAGATTAAGCTGGGTGATATTTTAATACCATAAAGCATAGTTCCTACCAAGAATAGTTCCAAAATTAGCTAGCTTTCACAATTTTTTTTTTAATGGAATCTTTTTTCTTTTTTGGTGAGACTTCCATGTAATGTAGGCTTTATGCCAAAAAATTAAAATATCTGAAAAATAATCTAAATCTCCACAATTTTTTCAGACAAACAAAAATTTTAAGGACACATATTTAAAATTAATATTTGAGGCTAACGAATTTGAAATTACTCTACAACTATGTTCGTTCACAATGTCTGTAGGCCTATTTTATTATTACTCTAAGTCATATAATGACAATGGTTGAGCCTATTTTCAAACGTTAGTTAATTTTAAGGCATTATCATCAAAGTTTCTCATAATCATGATCATTCAAGTTTAAAGCCAGCAAGAAGAAATTATAAATGCTGAGATATCCCCTATTTTCCGCTTGAAAAGATATTTGTGAAATTTCACATTTTAATGGACACCCTTAAGTTCTTAATGACTATTTTTGGACAAGCCATTTTAAGTCAAATTTTTACAGACTGTTCATAAATTTACAGATGGTTGGTAACCCTAACTGCATTATTCTTATGGTCACTAGATGTACATCAGCGGCGTAGCTAAGGTTAGTGCCGCCCAGGGCGGCCAAAGATTTTTGCTCTCCAATGCTACAAAAATGTGTGGCCCTGGGTGAACCAACCCTCTGACTTTCCTATGCCACTGATGTACATAAATAGTATCTTATAAGAGTGAGTACCTTCTTTTCTTATTTTTTTTTGGTCAGAGTTGCTCACACTCACACAGGTCTCCACACAGTGCACTTCACATTGATAATTAGATTACTTGTTGAGTAGTCCTAAATGTAAGTTCGTTAATAAGGCCATCATCATTATAAATTATAACGATTATAATATTATGGGCGCCTAAGCCTATATTATACTCAGATACAGTGAAACCTGGAAATTAAAGAAGCCCTTGTGGCCTTGGGACAGAAGCAGGGATGCCTGGGATTGGGATGGTGCTATTTGCAAATGCCAAATGACAAATGCCAAATGCAAGTTATGCCAGGCCCATTTTTACAAAATGGTTCAATTAAAGTAACATCTCAAAGTTTTTTTGTAAATTTTATAATGATAAATTTGTACAAACACACACAAACAGATTGTCCAGTCCAGAATGACCCCCCCCCCCAAAAAAAAAAAAAAAAAAAAAAAAAAAAAAAAAAAAAAAAGCACACTCACTGACTCACACTCACACAGGCCAAGACTAAGTACTAGGTCTAAGTCTATGCAATGCAATCCCTTAATAAATGTAATAAAGCTTTATAAAGACCAGTACAGGTAACTGTACTAGAGACTAGTGCAATTTCAAAACTTCATTGTCATTATTAATGAAAAGTATAAGAAATATTACTTAATAAGTTGCTGTGTATCCAAACATAACATAAAATGTTACAGGTTACAGTTCCAGCATCTTAAAAATGCGAAAAAAGTAAAAACCTACAAAACAATAAACGAAGTGGATGCGTACACGGCGGCGGTGTACCTAGCGAACGCGTGGGCATTTGGCCCGGGTACACCGTGGCAAAAATGTACCATTGGCCTGGTTATAAGATAATATGCATGTTAGACTAGATCTTGTGTGGTTAAGTGGTAGAGTGGACGCTTGGCGATATTAAATTTTGAGATAAATTCCCAGTGGGGGATCTAGTTTTTTGTTCTTCCTATTTTCATTAAAATATTTTATATTTAAATTATCATGTTCATTTGCAACAGTAGTTTTATGAGAAGTTATTATATATTTTATAGCAATTTATACAATTTAAATATATGTGATATTTTATTGTATTTCAACATTCTTCGTGTAGTTGAATATTTACATTTTACTTTTACGAACACCCAAAGAAAATACCAATATATCAATAATATCATATGAATATTAATCTGCATGGTCGTATTTCAACCATCTTGCTTTCACTATGAATGTATTGGCAAAATGTACACACGAAATCAACGGTTCATTCACAACCCTCAGTCTCACAGCAAATCTTTTGAAAACACCACGATTTTAGAAACTTACGGCGCCGTAGCAAACTGTATAACAAAGCCATAGGTCTGCGTTTACCCTGTTCATTACGGAATAATTTGTTTCCAGAATAGCATGGCATGTGCTATTCTCAGGGTAAAACACGACTTTTTGTCACAGAAACCATTGCACAATGCGTTTGGGACAGGATTTACGATATTTCAAAGTTTTTTTATTTGTTGTTTTTTGTTAAGAAATTGATCCTTGCTGGGGGGTGGAGATAAGTTATGGGCAGAGGCTAAACCAAAAAGAGGGCCTTCGCAAATCACGCCTATGGATAAGGGCTGTCCCCAAAAAAGGTCCGCACAACAATTGGGGTGCTGATGTCCGCCGGCATTTTTTTAAACCAATGTATAATAACAATATAAAACTAAATCAATGATATTTAGTTATTAACAGACTTTTAAAAATCAGTGCAGTGTTTCGTATTGATCATCATACTGTTGTTTTGTGTTGACAATCGCTTGATATCACAACGACAATGCCTCTGACAACTTTAACTTCACGACTTCATGATCAATGTATGTGATTCTCTTCCCGTAATGTATTTGTGGCGTAATAGATGTTAACAAAATAGATACAATGGCTTCCCATTCAGTTTTACACCACGCCCTGAGGGATCACATACAATGTTATAATTATAATGCCTCCCACCCCCTCAACAAAAAAAACAAAAAAACAAAAAAAAAAAAAAAAGGAGGGAGAAAAAAAAAAAAAAAAAAAAAAAAAAAAAAAAAACGGGGGGGGGGGGGGAATAATTTCAAATTAGCTACTCTTTTTATGCCTATTAAGATTCCAAATCATAGGATAAAACTTACACCAATTAATAAATATATTTTTATTTCAATATATGGGGGCAATAAAGTGGTTAACTTTAAAAATAAATCATGGTTTAACATTACACCCCAGCCCCCTCCCTTACAATAAATAATAAGAAATGCTCTATAAGTACTTTGCCACATAAGCGTGGAACTTACTCAATATCTTCCTCCCAAGGTACTTAACGATTTTTAAAGAAATAGTTTTCAGTTTTAACAAGAGTATAACATTAAATCTACAAGTATAGGTTAGGCCAAAAAGTTAAAAACTCGCAAAGACCATGGTTTTGCTACCTTCAATCGCTGCGGTGTACGCAGGCCAAAGTCAATAGTTGTGGTGTACGTAGTGCCGGCCAACAAATAAACACTCTCATTAGTGACTATTATTATACTCATTCCCCACATCGTCACCAATACAAATCTAATAATATGCCGCCCCCCCCTAAATCTTACACTAAAAAATGCGAAAATTTAAATACAACTCACTGTTAAACTTAAGTCATTAAAAAAAATTAATTATAGTTATAGGCCTGTATTATATATGTATGCTACATTTTATATTTACAAGCTTTTGAAGTGCCTTGTCTAGTATTAGTTCGGTTTAGTATACTGAGATTTGGCCTAGGCTATGATTTTTAAAATGATAATTAAATTGATAGTTATTCAGCTAAATAAGACATTGTAACGGCTACTTATGGTTTTATTATTTAAAATACTATATTCAGAGTTTTTTGTTAAATCTTTGTCCTCAAATCGCTCTTTCTCAAAAATCTGGCAAAAGTGTCAAATAGAAAAGAACAAAGTATCTGAGAAAATAGTTACAGATAACCCTCCTTGATAAAATCCAAAATGGTGTTAGGTCAAGCCTCCCGTGCTCTTGTAAGGCGATTTACAACCTCCTCTGTCATGAGGAGTCAAGGTTGGCAACAGGAGGGTATCCCAGGATCTGTAAGTAAACAAGATACTCAGGAAAATAATTACATCTTACGCTACATATTGTGAAGGCCAAGTGATTCTGCACCATCTTTAAGCAGAGAAGGTCACCACAAGTACAACAACGCCATTTGCCATGTCAACACACAAGACTGACTGAGGCAAAGTACACTATAGTACAAACACTTAGATTATTCAAAGTAGAGCTTCGTATATATTGATCATCCACACCAAATTTTCTGGCGTCTCGTATTTCAGCAATATGCCAATGAATTCTTGAGTCTATTGATTTAATAAGGAATAAGGAGGCTTCCTCAACCCAATCCACCAATGATGCTGATGATAATGGCATTGATGGCAATGAAATATGGCCAATGTTCTTTTATTTACTAAGGCACACATTATTTTTAGGCTGCGGCTGTTCGGACCCGGTATCAGAAGTGAGAGGTTGGGTTTATTAAAAAATATTGGTTCTTCAATTTAAATTCACATCAAAAATTATCATTACTGCTATTTTATGTCTATGCAGTTATATCTGGTTTAATAAATACATCCGCGGTAATTTAAGAGAGAGCGGCCCGAGTCTATTTCCATGGCCGCCATCTTGGTTGCCTCGACCTGCGCACTTTTACGTGTTCACTGGTCGAGGCAACCGAGATGGCGGCCATGGAAAAATAAAATAATTCACGTTTGCTAAAATTAGGAAGAAAACTTTAAAAATGTATGAAAAAATTGTCTTAAATCGATCTCTATGCCTAACCTGAACCCTAAACCTATCCCTATGCCTAACCCTAACCCTAGATCTATCCTTATGCCGAACCCTAATCCTAAATCAATCCCTATGCCTAACCCTAAATCGATCCCTATGCCTAACCCTAACCCTAAATCGATCCCTAAGCCTAACCTGAACCCTAAAAACTAGCCGTAAATCCACAAGTGAAAACACATGGAATTTCACACTCACTTTGGCAAGAAAACTATAAAAATTAACAAAAACAATAAAAAAGGGTCCCAAATAATTATAAACTGAAGAAATAATGAAAATCCAACTTACAGTTTCATGAAATACACTTCTACACACTTTATTTCAGGTTGCAACGAAAATATAGCCACAAAATGAAGAAATCTCCACACCCTACAGGCACCCCAAAGATATCAAATATGGCGGAACAAAAGAAATGTGATAATGAGCCAACCAATGAAAATTTTAAAATTATAATTAATCAACAAATAAAATTTTAATTCCGAAAATGTAACTCTTTTAACAAAAAATAAGAAAAAAATAAAGGCAGTGAATTCAAAACAAAGTCGCCGTGGGCCGCTCAATCTGAATCAGCCACATCTGCTTCTGTAGACACAATGAATTCTTTTGACAATTTCTGCATTAGTTCACAATGAAGTCAGTTGTATCTACAACAACACGGTATTATACATGCTGTCTGACGATGTGCTAACAACCACAAAGTTAACAGACTTCCAATACTCAATGCATTGAACCATAATGTGTGCACACTGCATATTATGATAATTTACAATATGGGCTATATCATGCTTTTAAACAGCAAATTAGAATATTCATGTTTAAATGCTTTCTAAGTTCATTTTAAAACACAAGCTATCAAAAAATTTTGATTTAAATATGGTAATAATTTAAAATTTCATAAATATCTGCAACTTTTGCCATTAACACAATAACTGTAATAATGACCCTTCACCGGCTGTTATGCCCTTCTCTGATATAATTGTCTGCTAACAAAATCATAGTTAAAAGCTTGAATGATTTACAGATTTAACTCATTCCCGACGTTTACAATGCGTTCTTCAGGGGTGATGTTGAATACCGGCGCATAGCAACACATCTCTCTCATTTTTATTTTAAAATGGCAATGAAATCTCACATTTCTCGAGACATCCGGCGATGGTGTACAGTATATATGAACATCCATTTCCAATGAAAACTCTCTCTTGCTTAACCAAATTATCTACACTGAATGAATGACCTACTACAACTAAATTAACTAGTCTAGCTAGTCTAGTGGTATTATTATATTATGATGTAATTATAGTAACTTACATTGCTATTGTATTACATAATTATATAAACCGTATTGTTTATAACTAAAAGTAGTTACTTAAATTTAGTATGGAAATGTTGAAGCAGAGAGAGTAGAGATTGCATTTTTCAGGCTTATTATAAGTAAGAAATAATAAAGGCCCATGTTTGCTTTTATTCAAAGAATAAATTTTTGTTAGTTGCTATTGGCTCATAACATCAGCTTACAATGCCACAAGCATTCAGTACTTTAAGACATGCAAAGCAAGATTTGGGGTGCGCAATTTATAATTGCACTTTTAAAAAAAATGTCTTAAAATTATTAACATACATTTCTAACAGATACATTATTTTTTTTAGATACCGGTACTGTAAAAAAAATGATAAAAATAATTGGATTGCTTTACAAATAAAAAAATCTCCTTTGAAGAATCAGATAATCACAGTATCTTCCATGATCTCCCCAAACATGAAATATAGAGTTAGATACAAGCCATGATTGAATTACACAATTTTAAAAAAGCTCATTATTGAATATTAGAATGGCTGAATTAAAATTTCAGAAAATAATCCACATAGTTGCAAATGTGATAGATATAATAAAGAAGTTTTCTTGATTTAAAATGAAAGAATATTCTCTGTTATGGCCATGAGGTATGTGACAGCACTGAATTCTTCATCAACACATCTTATTGTACCATATTTTATTTGAATTCTGATTTCATATTAAGCTTTCGTTCCCTAAAGCTGACTGTGATTTTACTTTGAAATAATTTTGACAAAGGCTTTTTATTTTCAGTTTCAAAATATTATGCTTGTGTTTCTTTTGTCAGAATCTTCCTTTCGACGTTCACAACAAGACCAAGTTGACTTTGTACTTCATACTGTTCTTCAGCAGTGGTTTGACAGCTCCATTCATACTTATGCGACGTCATTTACTAATCCAGTCTTCTAAGTAGGAAAAGCCTGTCAAATATGTCGGAGAGCGTGTTATAATAATGTGTAAGTAAAATATAAAATGAGCTTAATTCTTTTCAATACCAAAATTTCAAGAAGTTTTTCCGGCATGAGGCTTGCCAAGCTCTTTTCAGATGCCCCCAGAGTGGCTTTACATTATTCTAAAATATAATTGGTTGCCAATTTCAGGTGTTTAGTCAGTTTGCTTTATTATGCAAGAAAATTTGGCAGTATGCTGAGATATGTCACACACATTTTTAATTTTATTGAATGTGAATGTCACATGTGTTAGGTATATTAATTGTTTAAAAAAAAATTTAATCCCTTAATAATAACTCATCCACACTAAGTGTTGTTGATATGACATGTCAATTGAAGTACCGTTAATTGAAAGCAAGTGTTCTTAGGCATGTAAGTGAAGCAGGAGTCTGCCCTCCTCGTTTTGGTTTATCTATTTAAAAGTTGTTTTTAATTTTAGATATGTTGGTTCAAAAATGTTCATGTAAAGTAACTTTTAAAATATGATTTCACAGGTACAAAATACATAGAAGCCTGAAAGCACACGTTGAAGAGGAAGAGACTGTGACTTCGGCCATCTTTATACAAAGAAACTAGAGCCATTTTTATTTCATATGGTTATACTTATACATTGCTAGCCCATGAAAATTTGTTTTTATATACATGAAGCATTTTTAGTGAAAAGGAAATATATATCTATAACCCAGGAAAACCGTAAAAAAAATAAAAAATCATTCAATGCTATACACTTAATTATATCATTATACTTTTTTGAGTATGAATTTTGTATACCGCTACAGTACCCATTAATGAAAATGCAGAAAGTTAATATTGGAGTTATACATTAAGAAAATTATTTTAACTGTTAATGTCACGTTAGTAATTCAGTTAAAAACAACAATTATCAATTAGTGGCATCCAAGTGTGCAGTGACTGTTATTTAGTATTGTTATATGTAAATGTGGCATAGTTCCTGTAATAAATAATCTTTGATAATAATTTGTGTTCTTAATTTTTTGCATTACTTGGTGTCAAAACATAATAGCTAATTAAAATAAAATGAGTTCTGCTTCGAGTTTCTCTTTCAATGAAGCTGCATAGCCTACAAGTATGTGCTTCTACTTAATGTATTCACGCTGTATCATGTAAAAAGCTTTCCTGGTGCTTCCAGCTCAAGGTTATCTCTCTCTCAAGCATCTTACAACATTAAGGCCAGAGTGCCAGCAGCGCTATGTGAAATTTGTCATTGCTCAAGTCCATAAGAAAAGATACTTAATTCATCAAAAACATATTTAGATGGGATGACATGTAGGTCTATTTTTAACATTCTTTGTTCAGGGCTAATAATAAAAAATGAACCTGATATAAAACAAAAAAATTTGGACCCCATCATGGCCGCAACTAGCTAGGTGCATCCGCATAGCACTATCAACTAGCTCAGTGCACCCATTTAGCACTGCCAAAACTAGCTAGGTGCATCCACATAGCACTATCAACTAGCTCAGTGCACCCATTTAGCACTGCCACAACTCGCTCGGTGCCCCCACGTAGCTGTCACAACTCGCTCGGTGCACCATGTAGCACTACCACAACTCACTCAGTGCACGCATGTAGCACTGCCACAACTCGCTCGGTGCACCCATGTAGCACTGCCACAACTCGCTCGGTGCACGCATGTAGCACTGCCACAACTCGCTCGGTGCACCCATGTAGCACTGCCACAACTCACTCCGTGCACGCATGTAGCAGTCACAACTCGCTCTGTGCAGCCATGTAGCACTGCCAAAACTCACTCGGTGCACCCATGTAGCACTGCCACTTCTTCGTTAAAATATATAGACTAAGTCATGTATGGATCTTATCTTACAATTAAAGTTGATATGGGGTTGTGGGATGTCAGAACCTAAATGTATGGATCTTATCTTACAATTAATGTTTATATAATATATTATTAATATTATGGGGTTGTGGGATGACAGAACATAAATGTATTTTTAAAAAAAATGGTAACAGGGTAACTGTCGTAAGTGTAATCCTCCGGGACCAATCATCTCCTTTGATTTTGTCAATGGCCAAAGCAGGCCTATAGTTAACTACTAGCAGTAGCAGTGTTCTTGAAGTCTTGTGCGAAGTGCGGCAAACAGAGAGGAATGGCGGATAGTTTTCATGTCATCCGTGACGCCCCAACGGTCCAGGGACATGATGATGATGAAAGTAGGCCTACATATTTTATTGAGAGTTTTTCTGTGAGTGCACTTTATTACCCCTCCCCAGTGCCGTCTTAAGGCATGGGCACAGGGGCTTCTAGGGGGCCCCGCGCTTCTAGGAAACTCACTCTTATAAAGGCTTCATGTTGCAAATATTAATTAATGAATATTGAAAAGTTTTGGCAATTAAATTTGATTTAAAAATCAGTTTACATCACGTTTCCCAATTTTAACCCACGATTTTATCGGCAGGTTCCAAAATTAATATTATAAATGCGAATCACAATTTGGATACTTTAAAAAAACTTTTTAAGGGGAATAACTCTCGTCAACAAGTTTTACTTCTCCCAGATATGAATCGAAAAATAATAAAGTTGAGTATTTAGACAAAGATGTTGGCCCCGGGCGGTAATTACCCTAGATACGCCTCTCCTCCGTAGTGAAATTTGTGGAGAAAAATCTATCCTAGCACCAGTGAAAGTTCTACTGAATTCAATTAGCATTATATCAGGAATAATTCTTTTTAAAAGTAACTTTATTTTTCAAAAACAAAACCCAAATAACTTTATAATTTTTCAACAGACAAATATTTTGTATTCTGTGTCTGAAAAACATATTTGATAAATAGAACCCAACAGTCACCGAATGTCTGAGCTGTACGCAGAAATATATAGGCATTTAGACATAATTTGTGCTCACTGTTTAAAGCTCAAAGTCATCTTCATCTTACATACATACCTGGTAGCTCAAACACAGAGATCGATTTTATTAATGGCAAGATTTCTATTGATCATTTCCCGATGTTTTTTTTTTTAGCGGGGCACGTGTCAGTCTGAAGGGACAGACAAATCCATTAAAAAAAAAAATGACCTGTATCATTTAAACGGATTGCTGCTATTATTATAGAAATACTTGTAACCAATGAATATATTTCTACTTATTTAACCCCTGAACCGGGAATAAAAAATTAGTTTTATAATTGGAGCACAGAAGAGAAAAAGAGCTGAGGAGACAAGGAAAACGGGTAAACTTGCAAAATTAACATCTTGGTTAAATCCAATCGAAATCACAGTGACTAATACTTCTCATCAAAGTAAAAAAAAGCGTCATCTATTGGATCCAGCGATCTAGTTCCAGACAATACCATTACCTATTTCCTCTGCTGAGGAAATTGAAAAAATTAAAACACACAAAGCTGCCTCAGAAAACGAGAGTGTGTGATTCACCACACAAAGCTGTGTCAGAAAACGAGAGTCTGTGATTCACCACACAGATCCCTGGCTTTTGAATATTAAGAACACGTGTACAGTTGAGTATTGAATTCGCGGTGGTCCATCATTGTGTCAGAATCATGACTGCAACCTTTCACACTCAGGCAGAGCTGGAGAAGAAAGAACTAAGACAAGGTTTTTATCAAGAAATATGTTCAAACGTGAACTGCGGAATGACGAGTGTGTAAAACTCGAATGGCTTCTCTATTCAACATACCAAGGTTGTTTGTATTGTTTTCCTATTCGTCTATTGTCCAAAAAAGTATTTCCCTTTGCTATATCAGGATTTAAGTACTGGAAACATAACAATCTAATTGTAGAACATGAAAATGGAGAAGTGCATCGCAAGGACATGACTGCATATTTTCTTCGACTGAAAGCAGCTTTAGGTGTTTAGGTCCTTTATCAATCAAAGACCATAGGTCAACACAGAAGTACTGGCATCCAGTTCTGACTCGTGGGGTTTAGGGCGTTCGCTTTCTTGCTTCCAATGGAAATTGTTGAGGTATTTTAGAGCTGCTGAGTGAATTTAAACCTTTTTTGTAAGAGTATCTCAAACTGTATGGAAATGCTGAAAAGGATAACACATCATATCTTTCGGAAAATATTTGAGAAAAAATTATTGATCTAATGGGGCAACATGTCCTCTGTGCTATTCTGGAATAAATTAAAGAGACAAAGTATTATTCAATAAGTTATGATTCCACTTCAGACATTTCACACATTGATCAACTGACATTTACGGTCAGGTAAATTCAAGGATGCAAGTCTGTGGAACATTTTATCAAGTTAATTTCCAAAAGGAAAGTAAAGTGAGTAACAATAATATTATTGCTGCTTGAACTAATTTGCAAAACCTGTAACATCTATTTTGCATCACAAGTCATGTTGAAATAGCAAGTTCAACAGCACCGATAATGCATAAGAAATTACCACATGCTCCTCGACAAAAATTGATTCGACTAATGCAAGTAGCTGCCAGGAGACAGAGAGAGCTTTTGACAACTATTGCTCACACTGACAATGCTTCTATTTTAAGTGCTAAATGGTTAGTTGACTTGTCTAGTATATCAGTTCCGCAAGATGAAAATAATGAATCAGCTACTATGCCCATTGTTACGATAGAGCAACACCTTGCTACTCCCTGGGAAGATGATAGTAACTAGACACTATGCTACAATTGTCAGCTATACTGACAATAATCCTATTTATACTTCCGCAAACAATGATAATTAGTTTTAACAACCTTTTCATTGATTCTGCATTACAAAATTCATGTAAACACTTTTTTATTTGTTGATTAAAAAGCTAAAGATGCAATACAATGTTTTTCCCTACAATTTTGTGTTATTAAAACATATCAGCACAAAGTAAAATGTAGGCCTAGTTTATATAAATATATTATTATTCATTTTGGGGGGTGGGGGGAGTGGGGGTAAAAATGTAGACATAAAATACTTTTTTTTGGGGGGGGGGGGGNGGGGGGGGGGGAATCACTGGAAAAAAAATGCAATGATAGTGTATGCAACCAATTACCGAGTCATACAAAATCGGTTTATAAACGAGATGATTGACCTCATTATTGGACACTGTTTATTATATATATTTAAAGTTATGATTTTTCTTTTAAAATATTTTACTTACAATAATTTTCAATTGATATATTGTTTAAATTTCTTAACAGTTCAGTTTGACGATTATTAAAAAAATGAAAACTTCACAGAAATGCCCTTTCTAAGTTATATTTAGAATATTTTTTTATTTCGGTTAGTAGTTTTATCATTTAAGTTGTTGACAAAAGAAGAAGAACTATGTTTAAGTTTATACTTTATGTGACTGAGCTTTGATTAAATTCTGCAGTATTTCACTAATATATAGATATTACCGAACTATTCATTTAAGTCTAAACATTTTCACCAAGTTGATTAAAATTTTGTTATGGAAACTGCATGCATTTTGTGTTTAAAAAGTTGTTGCCATTTGTGACTTTGACTTTTTCTGTGTTAATTTGGGTTGTCAATATTTGTGGAAAATGAGAAAGGCTGCTGCCCTCCCCTTGTATTCAGCTCAGTGACAGGTGAACTTTGAACATAAGTTTGAGACAGTTGCAGATTTCCATTGGAGGAAGAAATTCCGTAACCAAATGAACACAGTTAACTCATATCCCTTGATTTGGATTTTAATTACAGCAGTTGGCAAGGTAAACTATGACTTTTCTATGAGTATGAGGATTTAAAAAAAAAAAAAAAGTTACCTTAACTTAAACTTAAAGCCTTAAAACTTAAAAATTATTATTTTAATTTCTAGTTTTAGTTTAGACAGAACTTTAGTTTAGATTAATCCAATCTACTTAGCCTACTTATTTGTTAGGCCTACTAAGACTAAGTCTAAGGTATGTCTATTTACTATTAAAAACTATTATAATTTTATATAGTATAGGCATAGGCCTATAACTTATAACTATAATAATACTAGTCTAGCCTACTCTAGTAAATAGGCTGCAAAATAATTTAAAACTGTACTTTAACTGTAGGCTAGAAGTTAAACTAAAGTCATTTATACAAATTTGGTTATAACTTAAAAGTAAATTTGAAGTACTTGAAGATAAAAAAGAGCATACCGGGTACTCATACACCATGTACCTGTTCAACTCAGAATGTCAATTCTATTTTAACTATAATAAAACATGACACATTTTCATCATTAGTCATCATTGTCACCCATTGTGGAACCTTGAAAATGTTTGCTCTAGACACTCTAGTCTCCATTACTGATACGAGGAAGAAACTGCAAATATCAAATTATTTAAAAGACCTATTAATTCAAAGTTTTATTGTTATTATCCGTTCTTGACAGTTACTGACTCTTCCTCAACTTTATGTATAAATTAAGTTAACCCTCTTGAGACACAGCCTTTTTGGACTGTCTATGCCAAAAAGACAGAGCCCTTTTCAAATGCCTTGATTGATGCCCTACACTTACAATGCCCAAATATGTTATATTTATATTCTTGTAAGGAATTGAATAAACTAATATGAAATTTAGGAAGAAAACTGAAATCTCAACATTTATTCAAATGAAATATCCTGATTTGCATAATTTATGCATGCAATTTTTTTTCCGAGGCTGCTTATGCCTTTTTGGCATCTTTCAAGTTCTTATATTTTTTAAGCATTTATAGGGGTCACTGCCTACAAAAAAAAAATTGTGTACAAAGACAGAACATGATAAACTATCAATGGAAGCCAACATTAAAATGGTGAGATGAGCAAGAAAAAGGAGACAAAATCTGAGTAGCTGGAACAAAGTCCTGCCAGCCAATCTTGAGTCTTCTATTATTGGGCCAATACATCGGCCCAGCTAACTCAAGAGGGTTAAAGAATCTAGGATTGAGATGTGATCCATTTTTTTTGGTCTGCTAATTGAGGTATCTGTTTCAATTAATAATAAATTCCATCTAGTGTTGATTCTGTCAACTCTTATGCAATAATAATTTAATTCAGATCATATATAAGTTGTGACTGTGATGAAATTAAATTATGATTTCCAACTTATTTAACTTTCACTCAGTGACAGTGTTAATCTTTCTGTAATGCGTTTTTTATATAAAATATAAATAAATTCTTAGTATGTGGTAAATAATTTTTATCATAAAATGAAAAAATATACTGAGAATGTACCTATCAGCTTGGAAAAGTGTGCAGTTTCTTTTAAATTAGGTCTCTTTTTTGGTTGGTTTTGAAATTATTCAAGGTAAAGCATATATTTAGATATTTAAATTAGATTTCAATATATAGTAATTTTTTGAAGAATTATTTTGGATTTCAATATAACTTTTTTTTGTTCCAAAATAGTAATGGAGTAGAAAATTATTTGCAAAAAAGAAGGTTAAATTGCCTGGTCTAAAATAATTGTATTACATATATTAACCTCTTAGAGTGAAGTCTTGCAGACTATAGTCTGCTGCATAGTTTGACCTGTATATTATGTGTTAGGGCTAACTTGCACACACTGCTGAGGTAGGTGAAATGTGGGTCATGTTCACTTAGGGCTCTTTTCTGTGTGGGTTTTGTGAAGATTGTTTTTCCTACTGAGTGCTTGCATGCCAATGTGACAATTTAAACTAACTTAAACTAATAAAACACACAAAGACTCTCAAACAATGCCTATTTATTCTGCCATCACATGTCCTGGGTACATGCATAATAGACTGGGGGGCAATGTGGATAAATCTCTCACCTCTCACGTGCCAAAGTGTCCTCGTTTTATAGCCATTTTAATTGTTTCTATAGTATAGTAGTTACTATCCTAATGTCTCATTTTTATTGGAGTTAGTTTACATGTTTTTAATAATTGTAAAGCTCTTAGAGCTTTAAGGTAAGTGCTATATAAAAATGCCTAAATAAATAAATAAATAAATATTAGTTTTATGTCAAAATATTTGCCAGCATTGCCAAGATAAAATTTAATAATACCATTATTAAATGTATTGCTTTTTTGGGACCCATTCAGCCAACACATGGCAACAAAAAGACATGCAGTGACATACTAACAATTTTTATTGTGACAGATAACAGCAAGGTTGCATGGGGTTATTTCTCACTAGAATGATCAGTAGTAATCAGTGTCTTAAGGTCACACTATTTCGTTAAAGCAGACAGTGACAAGTCTTGTAATAGTAAAATATGATGCAAATAGGTCTGTGTTCAAATGGGGACTCATAAAAAATACATTGCATCACCTCTCTATATTTATACATAAAAACTAAATGTTGCCAGATGTAGGCTGTAATGATAATTTCTATTCCTGGTTCATGTCTTAACAATGCTTGAGGTGAAGTCAAGTTTTTTTTTGCCAGCTGGCTTTTATTACCTGAAAAGTAAGCTGAATGTTAACCTTGATATGTTTTAAATAGAGTGAAATAATTTGGGAAAAAAACAAAGAAAGATTTTAAAAAATATTTCACCCTTGTATCTTGAGAATGCTGTATAAACATCCATTTTTCTTTATTATTTTTTAAAGTAAAATATATTTATATCTAATCAGACAATGAAAAAGATGGTTTAAAAAAATCAAACTTAATAAACTCTTTTGTGCCAGATAGGCACATCTGGCAACCTCCTCTCCACTAATTTTGAATTTGTATGAAAGAAAAAAATTAAGTTCTGTATCCCAGTTCTGCTCCCTCCATGCAACTGTAGTATTTTATTATTAAATTATTTTTTTAAAAAATGGTCTGCCAATGATAAAGTCTATATTTTATTTAAACTGTTACTTGCTTTGCCCTTTGGACTGTAAAGGCTGGCCAAAGTTCTACAAAAATAAACTCTGAACTTTGACTGCAAACTGAAACCTATACAAAGTCTATCAGAGTGGGAAATAAGATATGATATAATGCTAATCTATCTTTAGCATTATGATTTTCAGAAATAAAAGATAAACAAGAAAAACTCTTGCAAAATTGCTTGTGCTGCAGTTGTTTACATATTAATGTGAAATTTGATGCTATTAATTTATTTAAAAAAAAAACAACAAAAAGCAAAACCCTAATAAATTTGATTATATACTTTTGTGAATAAATTGTTAAACGGCTTACACTTATTAATTATTGTTTGAGTTGTTTTGTGAGAGATTTTTCAAAGTACACGAATTACTAGAGACAAACTATCCTTGAAAAAAATCAAATAGAAGTAAGTTTATTGCACAGAAAATTGTTTAGTTTTACTTGCAAATTCACATTATTACTTAAAATTATAAATATATTTATAAATATTTAATATACATTTGGATTAATCAGTAAATCCAGACTTGTTTGAATTTTTAGAAATTTTTTTATAAATTTTTAAATATCCAAGTTTATTTAGTCAGTTAGCTTAAAGAGGAAGTCTTTAAATTATTTTATCATCATCACAAGATAAATGGCCTGGAGATCACAGTCTCGGCTTTAACAGTCTCGATTGTTGATGTGACACTTCTTGTGAACTATATACATCTTGGTATCATTGATTCCCTTGAATGCAAACTTAACTATCTAATGTAAACATACGACTGACTACATTTGTCATTACATACTTATTGTGTACACATAAATTATGAATATGTACTTGATCTGGGAGCATTAAATATCTAGGCTAAAATTTAGTTAATTATTTAATTGGAGATTTTTAAAAATAAAGTTTATTGATTAGAAGGGGACTTCATTAGAAGAAGGATAATTATTTTTACTAAATTATTTCATAATATAATATGTACTTAAATTCATTAAAATATTCAAGAACCCATGCAGTTGTTGCCAATCGCCATATCATATTAATCATATACTTCAAAATATGGATCAGATAGTGTAATCACATCTCTATTGATAAGATCCAAGTGACATTACAATTGAGAGCAATTACAAACATTCACATTTCCCCAAGCTTGATTGAAAAAAAGTCTCTGCAAAATTTTTTCCCCTCATATTAAGGTGTGTTCTTTCCTCCTCCTCAGATCAGTAGCCAAGTTGGTTCTAGCTGCGGTTCCTGACAACATGAATGTGTAGAATGGTGTCTGTGAGCAAAGATTCTGTGACCCCTGTGGCTGTGAACCCTTCTGAGGTAAACACACTTCACTTGCATTTCAGCCTGTCCTCACCAGCAGGCGTTTACTCCTTCTTCATAGCAATGTAATAGCCCCATCCCTGCAAGTGGCACCACTTTTGACTAAGCCCCATAGGTTTGTGTTATTTCCAGGTTTCACTGCACCACAGGGCCAACTACTATATATAAATTTAATTAGGTTAAAGATAGGTCAAGGCTATAGAGATGAGGTTAACTCTGAATATTATTATTATGATTTTTTTGTTTCCGTTTATGCCTTTTATCCCGCCTGCAATGTAGGCAGTTAACAATAATTTTCTATTCATCTTGGTCCTGTGCTTTCCTTTCCAGTTGCTTTCAGGTGTATCTTATACTTTGTGTGTCTGCCACTAACTCGCATCTCCAAGTATTCTTTGGCCTTCCTCTCTTCCATTTTCCCTATAGACTATATGATAGGGATTATCTGGTGATGTTATTTCGGGGTTTACGAAGAGTGTGTCCCATCCACATCCATCTCTTCCTAATGATGTCTTCAGCAATAAGCTCTTGGTATATCCTGTTCAGTAAGTCTTAGTTGATGATGATGTTTGGCCATGATTATTGGCGGTTTATTTTCAATTATTGTGATGGTTGATGTGTAATTTCTATAAAATTGTATATCCTGGAAAAACTGTATAAATTTAAACTGTGTAATTTTTATAACTTTGTAGCAACAAGCTGAAGGAGTTGGAAATATCACTTTGGTTGACTAGAAAAACTTAATGAAGTAAAGCTATAGATTTGGATGATGAGTTATTTGGATCACTTCGGCAGCTGAGAAAAAATTTCACAAATTAATTTTTATCTGTAGACATGGATAATGTATAATTGGATCATTTTGGCCTAAATTAGCTCCCAACTCTTAGCCTCACCGGACTTAACTCTATGGCAGTGACAGCTGTTCATATTTCTGATTATAACTGAGGCATGGCTGAAGCCTCCTCCATTACCATAAATAAGATACCAATTTGAGAGCTTTAACTTTGTGAAATTACCAGCCAGCGATGAATCTAAAAATATATCTTTCAATCTATTTATGCTCGACATGGGTGATGACTCTAATATGGTATAAAGGATAGGTGTGTTAGAAATGAAAGGGTTTTAAAACTTTAATATTCCATGTTGATTCAAGGGGGTTTTAGGCGAGTGGGTTGGAGTGGCTGTTTATACAGATATTAAAAAAAAACAACATTTTCAGATTAAAAAAAAAGATGAATGATTAAGTTAGGGCCGTTTTAAACAAAGTTGAATTAAAACCAGGACATTTAAAATAATTTTGGCACCATGGATGTAAAAAAAAAAAATTATTATTTGTGGTCACACAGAAAAAAGTCTTCGTTCTTTGAACCATTCGTTTAAATGTTCTTTGAATCATTCTTTTAAACGTTCTTTGAACCATTCTTTTAAACGTTCTCTGAACCATTCTTTTAGAAGGAAAAATTATTGTGATGTGAGATGAAATACATATTTTTAAAATTGTTTTATTTATTTCTGCTTGGATGTCAGCAGATGCACTCAATCTTTTGTTAAATTAATCATTTTTTTCTGTAGTATGTCAGCAGATGCACTCAATCTTTTGTTAAATTAATAATTTTTTTCTGTAGTCTTTAACTGTAATGTTTACAGTACACGACTATTCCGGACAAGTATACCCACCAAGCCTGTTCTGGTACAAAAAAGTATGACTGGTCACCCTTAAGAATGATAAAACATTACACCTGAGCCATTTGTATCTTTTAATTTTCTTTACATTTCATATAGACCCTGGGTGTTTGTATCCTTGGGCTGGTCTTACATGCTGTGTCCACATTGGAAGATTTATTTGTAAAACACACAACGTGCCACTTCTCATTTCCAGGTTCGCCTTCGTCCCATGGCCATCATACGAAACAAACTGGGACCAGACGCCGGCAGAGATGGTGTGGAGGAGAAAGAACATTACCACCAAGAGGAGCACAAAATTAACGAGAAGGTTTGGAGATGAAAATGATAAGAATTACTAGCCACGTATCATGTATATTAAAAAAAATAATTTATGTTGCAATGCCTCAGACAGTGTAGTTTGAAACATTATTATGTTACAAATTACATAAATTCTATGGGTGATTTGCAAAACATACAAAATAGGAGTTTCTCATCAACATACATTTTTATAAAATACTGTCAAAATGAATGTAGGAAGCTCTGTTCAACATTCATTTTTATAAAAGACTGTCAAAATGAATGTAGGAAGCTCTGATCAACATACATTTTTATAAGCACAAGACTGACAAAATAAATATACGAGATTCTGATCAACGGCATCAACTTAACTTTATTAAGTTTTAAGTACAGTATATGTTAAAGAAGTGTGTAGAAAACATTATGAAAAGAAAATTTTACAAAAAGAATGATGATAAGAAACGTCAACACTAAGGCATTATAAATAACATAGTTAAATTTGTTCACAAATGTTATCAGTCCAATGAAAATGCTAAAATAACTGACAGTAAGATCTATAAGATTGAATTGAACTTAACATTTGAAAGTGGAAATTATCATAATATATAGGTCTCAGTTTCTAAAAATAAAATTTAAAGAAGAAAAAATATCGGTTGCAACCTTTCCACACATCAGTTTTTGCTTACTGTTGTTAGTAGGGAGTTGTCATTTATGAAAAAAGTTGGAGAATCTGTTTCTCCCTTTCTCTTGCTTATGTTTGAGCAGATGACAATATTTTCCAAATATTTATTAAAGGACACAAAGTTTATGAAGATTTATTTTCAATTTTAAAGATGTTATGGACAACTTTTTGTGATGTCTCGATAACAAATTTTAGTTATATTTACCTTGAAAAATGTCAATGTGACCCCCATAACTAAGGGTGCAACCTGTCTGGGGGGTCAACTTCTAATATCCACTTTGAGGACCCCAAACTAAGTGTGTGACTGATCCACTGGAGCGACCTATTTGCGAGTAAATACAGTAATTGGATATTTTTTAAGAATCACCAACAGAGATAATTGAATGAATTAGACAAGAATATGTGATATGTCTGAGAACAGATTGCCTTGGAGAATATGCGTGGAAATAAAAGCACCACAATGAGAAATAAATTAAAAAATACACAGGACTTAGATTTGTGAAACACTCACAGCCGGATTAAGGAATAGGGTGTATAAAATTTATGGAAGATACTAATGTGTAAATATACCATCTCTGCTCTGAATGTAAAATTTATTTTTAACAAACACCCCCCCCCCCCCTTTCCCGTTAAGCTTACTGAGCCCAAGGGGAATCTGTTGACAAATAATTATAATTTTTGCATTATTGCATTGAGACCCACTGTTTTATCAAACATATTTTTCTCCATGAAATTGTTCCAACCAGGTGGCGGACCAGCACAAAGTCTTCACTGCTCTCATTGCCGGGGCCATGGCTGGGGCTCTGGCTAAAACTGTTATAGCACCCCTGGACAGGACCAAGATCAATTTTCAGAGTGAGTGGTGGTCAGATATTTTTTCTTTTTTGTCAACTTCTACTTCTTTGCTGGTGTAGGATCAAGATCATGAGTTAAAATTTTTTTTTTAAGTTACGTTTTTATAACAAGACAAGTCAGGACCAAAAAAAAGACACAAAAAAAGACAGAATATTATCTTGTCTTCAAAATGGAGCTTTAAAAAAAATCAAACAAATCCCAAAGGAATAATGAGGGCAAAATGTTATTATTAGTTTGACTTAACCCAGGAACATAGACATTTAACCAACCTAACTGACTTAACCCAGGAACATAGACATTTAACCAATGTAACTGACTTAACCCAGGAACATAGACATTTAACCAACCTAATTGACTTAACCCAGGAACATAGACATTTAACCAACCTAACTGACTTAACCCAGGAACATAGACATTTAACCAACCTAACTGACTTAACCCAGGAACATAGACATTTAACCAACCTAACTGACTTAACCCAGGAACATAGACATTTAACCAACTTAACTGACTTAACCCAGGAACATAGACATTTAACCAACCTAACTGACTTAGCCCAGGAACATAGACATTTAACCAACCTAACTGACTTAGCCCAGGAACATAGACATTTAACCAACCTAACTGACTTAGCCCAGGAACATAGACATTTAACCAACCTAACTGACTTAACCCAGGAACATAGACATTTAACCAACCTAACTGACTTAGCCCAGGAACATAGACATTTAACCAACCTAACTGACTTAACCCAGGAACATAGACATTTAACCAACCTAACTGACTTAACCCAGGAACATAGACATTTAACCAACCTAACTGACTTAACCCAGGAACATAGACATTTAACCAACCTAACTGACTTAACCCAGGAACATAGACATTTAACCAACCTAACTGACTTAACCCAGGAACATAGACATTTAACCAACGTAACTGACTTTAGTCAGGCCTGCACAACTCTAAAGGTAAGGTGGGCCATAATACTTTATAGAATCTTGTGTGGGCTGAAAGATTAGGACAAGGGGGAAGCCACAACAATAAAGAATATTTCGTTACTTCGCAGGCCCCAAAGTGGGTGCTGGCAGGCTGTATGCAGCCAGCTTCCGTATGTTGTGCAGGCCTGATTTAAGTACTATAAATACAATACAAAATTGGGGTAATCATGAGGAGAATACAGCAGGATTAATAGCAAACTTTATTAAGCAATTACATTTTAGTTCACAGAAATGTTTACATTTGTGATCACCAAATCCATAGACTCAGTACAACACCAGAAAACAAGCAGCTTTTTCCTACAGTTCTCTGACCAAAATAGGAACAAATGTAAATAAAGGCACCTTTTCACATTTCAGGATTTGACTCATTTTTTTCAGAAGTTTGGATAAAAAAGTGTACTAAATAAAGTCCTAATTAAATGAGTTGGTTTTAGATTTGCTCATGTAACAGTTGTACTTCTTGTTTCAGTCGCCAACAAGCCATTCTCTGCTCGGGTGGCTGTGCATTTCTTATATGACACGGTGAGGGAGTCTGGTTTCCTGTCATTATGGAGAGGTAACTCCGCCACACTGGTCAGGATCATTCCCTATGCCGCCATACAGTTTAGCTCCCATGAGCAGTATAAGCTGTGGTTGAACTTTCACCACAAGAAGTGAGTGCTGTGCTTTGGAACTGGTGCTGAGTAAATTACCTGCTTGCCTTACCTAGGTTCCTTGAGCTTGCTATACTTTCCTTACCTGATACTTAGTACTTGACCTACTCACCTAACTTTGATGCCTAATTCATAACAATACTCAACTAATCATTACAGTGGGGCACTGGATATCTGAACTAATTGGGACCAGGGGAGGTTTTGACTGACCGAACTCAAAACTCTCATACTTAAAAGACTTGGAATAGGTCGTAATATGTAAAAAAAAAAAAAGAAAAAAGACCAGTAAGAATCAACACCAACTGTCACCAAACACCAATGTAAATTTCACACGTTTCTAACCATGTCACGTAGTGTATCAGTGTCAGCTGATTCATGTCAAAAACCGATGAGATTTGTATTTTTTTTTTATCAGTGAAATCCGAGGCCCCTTTGACTTTGTTAGCCACTATTCTGTGATAATATATATATTAATTTTAAAGTTTTCAGATTGTATTATGTCAGTCTTGCCTCTGTGTGTACTATAAAAAATCTTAGATTTTTACCTGGATTGTGCAACAGAGGTTGGAAGCTTTTCCGATTTTTCTATGGTAATGCCATGTGTGATAATAATTTTTAAAAGACGGGGCAGTTCTGTAACCGGCACTTTGGATAGTCAACGCTCCATTGCACTTAAAATAATAATAACGGTCCTTTAGATCTAGTACTTTAACCACTCTACTTACTTTGATGCCTGCTACTTGACCCACTTACTTAACTTGATGCAATCTATTTTCTCCTCCAGGCATTTACCTCCTCACTTACGGTTCCTGGCTGGTTCACTTGCTGGCGTCACTTCTGTTGCGTTCACCTACCCACTCGACTTGTGCAGGGCTCGGATGGCCGTGACGCCGAAAGCAACGTATGACATACCATAGTACTTGAATAATAAAAAAAGTAACTTTGTATCAAGTTGCTATTTAATTAATTTAAGTTTAGAGATGCAATTCTTTTATTGATCCAAATAAATGGAAATGTTTTTTTGATACATTGTACATATTCATTTTCAGCCCATAAGTAAATATATATTTTAACCTAGACAACATTTTACAATTATAACAGTTTAAACAGGAGACATCTAAAGTATTTCTCTAGCATTGAATCCCTTTGAAAAGTGCCCATTGTGTACTGGTAGATTTAAAGAAACAAACTAAAAAAAAAATCAATAATAAAAAAAAAATTTGATTCAAATTGTTATGATAAAATTCTCTGACATGGTCAGAACATTATTCTTTGTCAATTTTTGATGGCCCATTAGTATTCTTAAGAGAAAGGCTAAAAACCCAGACAATACATTATGGGTACACAAAGTTTAACACAATCAACTTTTAGTTGAAATACCTACTGCACTATTGTAACTACTGGTACTGTATGGAACAATTCTAACTACAGTACAGAACAATTGTAACTACTGGTACTGTTCAGAATTCTTGTAACTACCATCCGAAATGTTTTTATTTGCCTACAGAATACTTGTAATTACTGTAAATAACAATTGTAATTAATGTACAACTATTTTAACTACTATACTGAATACTTGTAACTATCATACAAAATATTTGTAACTACCTTCAGAATACTTGAAATTGCTGTACAGAACAATTGTAACTACCATAAAAAACACTTTAACATGTAGAAAGAAAAATATCTAAATCTCACCAATAAAATTCAGGTACAACCATATAGGTGAAGTATTTATAAAGATGATACGAGAAGAAGGTTTCCGCTCCATCTACAGAGGGTTCACCCCAACAATGCTCGGGTCTATACCATACTCTGGCTCGAGTTTCTTTACGTATGAAACTTTGAAAAAATTCCACGCTGGTAAGTTGGGTTGGTTTCTACAGCATTATTTCTGTGGTCACAGGTAAATGGTAAATGATAAATAAATATGTCCAGATAAATAGCATTAAATGATGAATAAATATTGCCAGATAAATAGCATTAAATGATGAATAAATATTGCCAGATAAATAGCATTAAATGATCATTAAATATGTCCAGATAAATAGCCATAAATAATGAATAATATTGCCAGATAAATAGCAATAAATGATGAATAAATATTGCCAGATAAATAGTATTAAACAATGAATGAATATTACCAGATAAATAGTAGTAAATGAAAGATAAATATTGCCAGATAAATAGGAGTAAATGATGAATAAATAGGAAGAAAAACATTGGCAGGGAACCATGAACAAATATGATCAGAGAGTTTCCAGTGGATGATGAATAAATATAGAAGGAAAGATTTCTGAGAAAATGGAAATGTTCACCCACTTTTTAATTGAAAAATTTTGCCAGAGCAAGGCATTCATGATTTTGACCATCAACAATTTTAGTAAATATTTAAGAAATTATTTCCAGAAATTCCATAATTTTAACAGCCCATTTTCCCCCATTTAAAAAAAATTGATAATTTTTTTTTTTAATGTAAAAAGTTTGTTTTTTATCTTATCTGTCCAAAATTATTTTTTTGTATGGGGAACATCAATCAACTAAATGAGCAAGTGGTAATGATTGATTAATTTTTGATTATTGATTTTTTTAAAGAAACCCACCTGGGGAGAGACCCGACTCCTATAGAGAGGTTAACATTTGGGGCCATAGCCGGTATGGTTGGTCAGTCTGCTTCGTACCCCTTGGACATTGTCAGGCGGCGGATGCAGACGGCAGGTAAATTGTCGGGCTTCTCCCACATCGTACTTTAGATTACTCACCACTCCATCATGTTTAACAGAGCGCTGTTTTAACCCACCTCTGCTTCAGGAATGTTTAGAAACAATATTTTTTTGCCAACTTCGTGATGGCAGGTCAACTGTTCAGACTTGAGGCCATGCCTGAAAGTTGAAAAAAATTTATTACCTATATAATTTTAACTACATATATTTTATATTTACAACTAATATTACTTGATTAGACAGAGTTACAGAGCGGTATTTTTTACATGTAATTTACCTAATTTGGCTCTTGAATTGGGTAAATCTTTGGTTTGTCTCTCTAATTATAGATATACCGTGATTTACTTTTTTTGGTGTTTTACAAGCGTGGCTGCTGTCTTGTTTTAAACCCCCTCAACACACACACTATTTTTTTCTTTTTATTTCTTGAAACTATAATATTTTTTTGTTATGTGTAAATTATTGAAAAAAATAGCTAAACATGTCAATAATCTGACATTTCTTTACGTATGAAATTAAAAAAAAAAAATTTCCACATTTGTAAGTTGGGTTGGTTCTCCAGCATATTTTGTGTGTGGCCAGATAAGTAGAAAATGATGAATAAATGAATGATATCAGAACAAAAGTTGCATTGTCACATACTATTGATTGTGTTTCGGTAAAGCTTACAATCTGACACGTCATCAAACCGAGAAAAGGATCAAGCTGCTTATTTTGTGTGTTTTAATATAGTTCCTCTTTGTCATTTTTTTTTTTTTACAAAATTGTTTCTTGGCAGGTGTTACTGGACACATACACGACTACACCACCATTTTGAACACCACCCGCAGCATTATACGAGAGGAGGGTTTTATACGAGGCATGTACAAGGGCCTCAGCATGAACTGGATCAAAGGGCCCATAGCAGTAGGCATCAGCTTTACAACCTTTGACATGCTGAAACATTGGCTGCGCAAACTTCCCTACTTTCAAGAGGATACCAGGAAGACATGAGTCTTGCTAGGAGTTTTAGTTTTAGTAAGAAAAATAAACTGCTTGAAATTTAACTTATGATGACATAGAATTTTACTGGGAGCGGTATAGTCTTTCGAAAAAAGTTTCCTATGAACTTTTGCTGTGTTTATCGATCAGCGAGTGCCTAATTGACAAGTGGACAATATTTCTGGTAGCCAAATTGTGCCACATACTCCAGCTGGCTGCAAATCTGCTAAGCAGTGATTGTAAATTGTGCTAGACAAGGCCCAGTGGTATGGTATGCTGTCACAGCCCAGTGGTATGTTATGCTGTCAAGGCCCAGTGGTATGGCATGCTATGTTTCTGACAGGAGTCGTTTTTTTTTTTTTCAAAAAGCTGTTGTATAGATGTGTACAGAAAGACTGAAATTACATGTGTTTTACTTTTGTGTGGATAATACAATCTGTGATTTTGGTTTATAGAAGCCCTACAACACTGTGACACAGCCCAGTGGTATGTTATGCTGTCAAGGCCCAGTGGTATGGCATGCTATGTTTCTGACAGGAGTCGTTTTTTTTTTTTTCAAAAAGCTGTTGTATAGATGTGTACAGAAAGACTGAAATGACATGTGTTTGACTTTTGTGTGGACAATACAATCTGTGATTTTGGTTTATAGAAGCCCTACAACAATGTGATTAGAGGTATGGCCCCCAAGCTTTACATAAGTTTTTTCTCCAAATGTTTCCATGATACATGTAATGAAAGATGTGCAAGTCCATGATACATGTAATGAAAGATGTGCAAGTCCATGATACATGCAGTGGAATATATGCGAGTGATAAGAAGTGAATCCGCAATAAATACATGATATTAAATGTCAATAGTTTATTGTCACTTGTCTGCAAAGTTTTCTTTGAATTTTGTTTTTATTTTTTCGTTAATTTTTTCCCCCCTTCTGTTTCAATTTGGTGAGTTACCTTAAAGGTTTATTTATGTGACATTTACACTGTGCCAATCTTTGTTATGTGCACAGCTCATTTTGTATGGCCTCTCAAAAGACAACCTGTTTTACATAAAATAGCATAATTTTTTTAAAATACAATGTTATGGTACGCTTGGAAGATAAATGGAAAATGGTTATTATATAAGTGAGAGACCAAAGTAACAAAAATAATATACAGCACGTGCCACCAAAAGTAACGGTACTGAAAATCCTGGTTCTGGAGGGCATATGAGTTTGTCAAGGGTGCATAGCCCCCAGTAGCCACGAAATCAAAAAGCTGATATTTCTGGCCAAAGATAATGTTGTAAATCTCTCTCAATGGAGGAAGTAGTATTCCTAGTTGACCCTTATTTTGCTAATTCGTAAGTGGTCGTGAATGGGGAGCGAGTTTGAAAAAGTGGTGGCACAACAATTTGGAAAGAGTTTTAAAAATTCTAACCAAGTAACACAACTATAAAATATATTGTTACAAAATTTCACTATCTTGGAAAAGGTGATCTGTCGAAGGAAGTTGAGGTAGGACAGTTCATTAAGTGCATTTGTTGTTCGTCTGAGACTACACATTTCTAAAATAATTTGAATCCGCCAACACTGTAGGCGGAAAAGTTCCACGCGACACTATTCGAGCCCATATATCTGGCTCTGTCACTATTCGGGCCCATATATCTGGCTCTGTCACTATTCGGGCCCATATATCTGGCTCTGTTGAGCATTGTCCAACCTGTATCCAGTACGAAAATCCTCCCATTTCTTTAACAATCGGGGAACTAGGTTTTTGCTTATGTTAGTTTCAAGAATGGTTGTCTCAGACTTCATAGGGGGGTATCCAACACTTGCTGGAGAGCATGTACATGATTCTCTATTAGAACAGTTCTGGTCAACCACACTTCTCCTTTCCTGTACACTTAAAAGAAGGACAAAATGAAAGGAAAAAAGACCCAGAGGGCACAGCTGTGTTCATTGGTGCCCTCTCATTAAATGCATCTCGGAATGTCCTGCCGGCTGTTAACTCAGTCCCCATTCAAGACAACTTACGTAGGAGCGAAAATAGTGATCAACTATGAATACGTTTTCCTCCGTTGAGAGACCCATTTCCAGCGACAACTGCCAAATACATTACGTTCATTAAGACTCCTGTGTACATATGAGGACTGGAGATATGGACCATTGACAAACCCACACGTTCAAGATACAGGAATTTCAGTGCCTTTACTTTTGGATGTATTTATTGATTTAGGCCCAAATTATAGAAAATATTATTTTGCTAATAACAGAAGGCAAAGCCTGCTGTGTCAGAGATTCTTGTAACTTTTATATAAAGATATATATATATTTATATGGCAACAGTTTCTAAATTAGAGATTATAGTAATCTCCTGGTTAATGTTTTGTCATTGATTAAGTAATCTATTTTGTGCCCAAACTTGCTGGGTTAGAGATTATTGTGATCTATTTTATGGCAGATCTAGCTTGCCATGCGTTTCTGTACATGTCTTCCACTTGTTTTTTTGAGAGCAACTTCTGTGGGTTTGCTGTTACAATTATTGCTGAGGGTGCAACAGTCAATTCACCTAGCACCAACCCCCCCCCACCCCAGCAACGGTCAACACCCCCACCCCCTTAGCAACAGTCAACTTATCTAATCCCCCTATTGTAGCAACAGTCACCTCACCCAACCTGGCCCTGTCAGATCAAGTCTGGTCATGTTGTCCAAATGTCAGTCCTGAATAGTCTAGTCATGTTGTCCAAATCTTAGTCCTGAATAGTATGGTCAGTTCCTCTCTAGGTTGGAATCTTTGATGAAAAAGGAAAGCCTGTTTTGTCTTTGACGTTGGAAGAAAGGCTAATCCCAACTGTATTTTAGCGCTAATCCACAGTATTGTGATATTATCATGTTACTCTAGTTTTAGCTGTGAGAACTAGAAGTAGAAGATATTTGCCGTGCTGTTTACAAGTCACCTCCACAGGTAACACGTTTGAAATATGTGAGCAGTTAAAAAAATATTTGAGCTGTTCTACTAATTTGATGTCATGAGCTGTTTGATAGTTTCAGTAGTTGGTCTGTTGTGTTAGGAAAAAAATAATTTGATTAGGGACTTTTAGATTTAATTGTAGTGCTTGTATTTGTTTATTTAAAAAATTAGAGTTTACACATAAAACACAAATTTTAAAATTCTCAGGGAGATCAACACTTTACTACAGCAAAACATATTAATATCAGCTTAAAATTTTACCAGAGAGGGTAAAAGAGTTTCAAAAATGCATTTTGTATTTTATTAGAAAAGTACTCTCTAAACACCTGATTTTTACAGATTTACAGTGACAATATATGTTATGGCAGGGGAGAGAATATATTATTGCAGGGGAGATAATATATTATTACAGGGGAGAGAGTAAGTTGCTTAAGTGGACTGAGGGGAAGAAAATTTTTAGTTTAATTAGTCTACTTGTACCGGTTTACTTGTGAATACCTTCTGCCTTTTTTAAATGGTGAGAATTGAAACTGTAGATGGTGCCTGGCAACTTGTGCCCACTTGATTAAATTGTTTGAATTTGGAAAGCTAAGTCCAAGAATCCATAATTTAAAAAAACAAACAACAGAAATGACAAATGACATGTCATTTCAATGTCTCTTAATGATTCTTGTCCACAGGCTGCTTTCCTCTGTGTTGTCTATGTCATCTGACTATTGCTTTGTCTGCTGAGGAAGACATTTTACCAAAACATCCTTGGTTTTCAAGTCAAAAAAAAAAATAAAAAAAATTATATTGCACCATTTATTTAATGGGTGTCAATTAGCCCATGTAAAATATAAACTAGTGTTAGTCGTACATGTGTCATATGTTAGTCAATACCTCATAATTTAAAAAAAACAACAATTTATTGCATTTTGTTGACAAAAAAGTATTAAACAGAAATATTTCATAATTTGTTTTGCTCAAAAAATGAATGTGCCCTGTTGAAAAAAAAAATTAAAAAAAAATAGTAAAGTAAGAAACATGTGGAGATCTCCAGTCAGAAAGTAAAGTAAGAAACATGTGGAGATCTCCAGTCAGAAAGTAAAGTAAGAAACATGTGGAGATCTCCAGTTAGAAAGTAAAGTAAGAAACATGTGGAGATCTCCAGTCAGAAAGTAAAGTAAGAAACATGTGGAGATCTCCAGTCAGAAAGTAAAGTAAGAAACATGTGGAGATCTCCAGTCAGAAAGTAAAGTAAGAAACATGTGGAGATCTCCAGTCAGAAAGTAAAGTAAGAAACATGTGGAGATCTCCAGTCAGAAAGTAAAGTAAGAAACATGTGGAGATCTCCAGTCAGAAAGTAAAGTAAGAAACATGTGGAGATCTCCAGTCAGAAAGTAAAGTAAGAAACATGTGGAGATCTCCAGTTAGAAATTAACATTTAAAAGCAGTGCATGTGATTGTAATTGAAATATTTTTTGCTGTTGGTATGTGTAATATTTAATATTTTCTTTTTTTAAAAAAAACACATTTTTTTAACCTACTGGTGTCCCAGTTATTTTTTTTATACCTTTAAGTTTTTGTACATATTTAAGTGCTGAGATAAGATTAGATCCTTTTATTGATCCAAGTGGAAATTTGTTTTGATTACATTTTGCATATATTATTTTCATTCTTCAGTGTCCCCTGTCTTGAGTTTTTGTTGTTCACTAAAAATCTGCCTGCAGCAAGGCGTTCGGTGAATAAGTGTGTGGTCAAAATACCTGTTAGGGTCCTGACTGCACTTTTGCATTTTGAACAGAGTCTCGGCTTTTTGGTCGAGCCGAGTTCCCTCATTATTTTTCCTGAGATCATGGATAATCATAATGTCTGTAGCCGACTTGCTTCAATGCATTACGATTTTAAAATACGCTAACTATGGATAAAGCAAAATATGTCAATTATGACATACAGTCAGAGCCGTTAAAACATTTGAATTCCGATATACAACTATAATTCAAAAACACTAGCTTTGTTAAATGTATCGCTTGGATTGTGTGTGTTCACTATCTCTTCATGTCAAATGTTGACACTGCTATCTATTCAGATAATGGATTTTGTGTGTGTGTGTGTGTGTGTGGTGTTTTTGTTGTGCTTGGTGTTTCAATAGTCACGTGTCAATGATCACAAGTTGCTATTTCTAGAGGTAGTGAGGAAGTAGTCAACAAGGGATGGAAGTTTTTTTTTTTTATTCTTCAGTATGCAGGAGACATTTTTATGTAAAGGATACTGTCAAAAGAACTAAATTAATTGTAATATTTGAGGTTTGCTTGTCATTTGTATCTTTGGGTTTATTTAATTTTCTAGCTGTGAAACAGGTAACAGTCTCAAGTGTGAGTAGTCTTGGGGCTTCACATTTATTTTAAAGCTAATTTAATGTTTATTTGAAGTAAAAAAATAAATTATTTTCCATGTTGATTTTTGTGTGTTTGTCCACAGCTTAAAACCAATAT